TGTTTATTGAATTCAGCATCTCTGTGCAAATAGTTTTGGGTCCTGCTAAATAATTGGTTTTGGCAAACATATTGACTGGAGGAACAGCCAATTCTAATCAAGGACACTTGCCTTCCTCCAAAGGAAAAATACAGGTTTAAAACATGTGAATGTATGTAGGTTTAAATCAACATGATTATGTATCTTCTGAAGCCTTTAGCACCAGACCAGTCTGAAATGCTGTTCTACATTCTTACTGCCTTGTAGAGCATGTGTGACCACACAAGTTACATGAGCTGCCTTCCTTTAACAGTTAGGCAGAATGTGTTCTTACATGAGCTGCCATCAAATACAAAATGCATATACGTGTTCCTTTTGAAGAAGTTGTTGTCTGAAGGAAAGCCTAAGTTTCTCTTATCTTTTCTTTTTGCCTGCTCGTGTGGTTTTCAACATAGTGCATCTAACTTTAAACTTCTAAAATCAGCTGTTTCACAGATTAACCTTTCTTGGCTTTAGTGCCCTCTTCCAGAAGTGAAAATATTTATCTGATGGCTTCTGTTCCGGGTTGTGCCTGGCAGATTCGGTAAGTGCCCCCTCTTTTTACCTGCATTCAGAAGCATGGGTTCACTGCTGATCAATAATTAACTCCTTGTTTGCCCATGAAATCCTTTCACCCTCCACTAAACAAAGTATGCTTGCTGGACCATTGTGCATCGATTTGTGTGTTTGAATGAGAGAGATCGATCGATCTATGTTAGGGCATTGTTGGCAACCAATTCAATAATTGTTTTACAACTTTTTCTTCTCTATACTAGCTCCCTCTCCATCACTATAATACAATTGTTAAAACTGAGGGCAGCCATCAGGATATGGCCACCTGCTAGCACTTAGGATAGCATTTGTGATGGAGTAGAACCATGTTTATGGTGGGTCCTAATCTATAATTTGCAGAAAGTTGCAAATCGCCACTTTACAGCTCTTTTTAAGAGTTATCTGTTCTTGATTGCTCAGACTCAGCCTAGGCTATTCTGAGTGAAAAACTGGCAATCCCAGTTAGTTTTAAAGGTCAGCCTTAGAGCAGTACTGTGAGTATACTCTTCTAGTATGTTTTCACATGTAGCATAACAAGAATCAGGACCATAATTACTGGGTGTCAGAACAGACAGTAATCTTCCTGTTCTGGTTTTGGCTGGGATAGAGTTAATTTTCTTCCTAGTAGCAGGCACAGTGCTGTGGTTTGGATTTAGTAGGAGAAGAATGTTGATAACACACTGATGGTTTAGTTGTTGCTAAGTACTGCTTATGCTAGTCAAGGACTTTGCAGCATCCCATGCTCTGCCAGGTGCACAAGAAACTGGGAGGGGGCACAGCCAGAATAGTTGATGCAAACTGACCAAAGGGCTATTCCATACCATATGACATCATGCCCAGTATATAAACTGGGGGGGGTTGGCCAGGGGGCAGCAATCTCTGCTCGGGAGCTGTCTGGGTGTCGGTCGGCGGGTGGTGAGCAATTGCATTGTGCATCATTTGCTTTGTATATTATTATTGTTATTATATTATTATTATCATCATTACTATTTTACTTTATTTCAACTATTAAACTGTTCTTATCTCAACCCAGGAGTATTTCTCACTCTTACTCCTCTGATTCTCTCCCCCATCCCACCAGGGTAGGGGGAGCGAGCGAGCGGCTGCGTGGTGCTTAGTTGCTGGCTGGGGCTAAACCATGACACTTCCCCAGTTAGAAGATGCAGACCTGCTGTTAGTGTTAAAAAGTATTGCTTATGCTTCTCTTTCCATGCTTTCTTTTCATTTGGCATTTCACTATCAGTACATCCTAAAGGTACTGCTTAGTTTTGGGAATAACATTGTTCACAGTGCTGCAGAGATTGTTTTGCCAGTATGGACTAGACCCATGCTCCTCCTTGTGTGGCTTTTGCCCAGAAGATCTTTTGATGTTGCTGGTGACCAAATGTAAATTACATTTGAACACGTGGGTAAGCAATGAGGATAAAATAAAAAGTTTGCTGCACGTGCAGTGTTGTGAAGTAGAAGAAGCTAAGGTTATGGCTATATATATGAATAGACAGTAATGTTGCATTGTCTTGGAAGACTTCAGCCTGAAGAATGTATTCTGTAGTCACTTGTCATGTGACTAATAGTAATAGCTTGCAGGCAACCAATGCTAGCTAAAAAAAAATTATGTGTATGTATTAGACTTTCACCATGTCAGACAGGATATAATTGCAGATATTAGAAATTAATGGTCAGGTGAAAGGGAACAAGGTCTTTGGGTTATTAATGATTTTCAGAATGCTGTGAAACTTCCCAAAGCCTAGAGGAGACAATGTGATGCAATAGCTTAAAGAAAAGAAAAAAGAAAAAAAAAAAACCCAGGCTGACCCGGATAATTTCAGGCAGCTCAGTCTTACGTTGATCCTAAGAGGTGTGTGGGAAGAGGAGAAAATAAGGGAGTACCCAATATTGGACTTTTTGCTCTTAAGGGATTAAGGAAGGGTAATTGATGCAAATCAGTGTAGCTTAATGGAAAGTATATCTGGTCTAATTTGATACTCTTCTTTAAAACTAGCAGTATTATCAGCCACCCTTGTAAAAGTAATTTCACTGATGTAATGCATTTTTAATTCCTTTTACCATTTGATTGGTACTGCGTGATTCATTGGCTAAGAAATTTGAAAAACACAGCCCCCAAATTCATCAAAATGGATAAAAGAGAAGTAACTAATTGATGTCAGTTTTGATGATTCCAAGCTCACAGTCACAAAGCAAGGGTTTTTAAGCAGGTATTCTGGGTATTAAGTTTTAGTCTGCAATATTTTAGGTTTTATTACAGGGAAGAATTATGTATTAGAAACCTATAAAGGAAAATTCAAACACTTAGTTCATTAAACAGAATTACAGGAAGACTTGTTAAAAGTGCGTTTGATGTTCATCTCCTCACATAAGAATACAAGAAGGTCTTCAAATCCCTGTATGGGAGGAAGCTTTAGGAACAGCATTGTAAAGCCCAGTGGGTGGAGATTGGACTCAAACATGAATCAGTTTCTGTTCTGATAAAGATGCATGATATTTTCTGTGTGCTTCTGTATTAATGTTGAAGACCTGGAGATGAGACAAGCTAACTTAAAAGTGAAGATGGTTTAGGTTTAATGGAATGTGCCAGGCACTTCAGGACCAGCTGCTTCCCATCAGTTCTGGATCAAAGGAAGGAATTGTCCATGTGCCCAGAGATTTCTTTCATAAAATATAAATTATAAGCATTTTCACACCAACTATCAAACTTCAAGCACCAGCATTGAAATAGATCCTGAGCCAGAGATGAGATTAGGACCAGAGTAGAAATGAGACATAATATTATAACTTTTTATTTAAAAATTATTGAAGTAGTTTACCAAGGGTTATGGTGAGTTCTTTAATCAAAACAATAATTAATTAGTAATGAAATACTATTGGACTGTGTTTACCGAAGATTTTTCTCTTCAATATCAGTGCACGCATTCTGATCCAACTTAATTGTTGCTGGTTTCTGAGTTTTGAATCCTTTTCATACATAATATATCTGTCAGTGCAGCTCATGGGAACAAGTGATTAACTCCATGCAGATGCAGTAGGAGGTAATTTAAGTTCAATTTGCTGCCTTGAAACTGTTCCATGGTGTCTGTAGTCTTATGCTGTCCAAGTCATCACAATTGTTTCCAGGTTTAGGTACCAAACTATCCTGAAGTTTGGTAGGGAGCATTGAGCTATTGGTCGTCTTCAATTTTTTTCCAACCATCTTCCCTATCTTCTAAGGCCATATGGTACCATATAGTTTGGATAGGATTAACCAATATGCCAGTTAGACCATTCTGCTGTTGAACAATATATCAAACCTAGAATTGATCCGGTTTTCTTTTGAAGTAGTCTGAGAAAATGTTGTCCTTATTTTTGTCTGGATCTGGGGTGGAATTATTTTGATTTGGGGTTTTAGGTAGTTTTTTCATGAAAACATTATTGAAAAAGTTGTCGTGATCTTTCCGTGAAAAAAATAGGTAGGGATTTTTCTTTTTCCAGTAATCTCAGTGTACAGGAAACACACTCAAGAATTTTCTTGTTGCTTTGACAAACTTCTCAGCACTGGCAAAAGCAGGGAAACATTTTTTGGTGGTATGGTTGTCATTGATAATTGGCTTATCAAAAGGTATTTTTCTAATCATTTCTCTTTAGATAAGCGTCAACAGATCCTAATCAGGACTAGATTAGAAGGATTCTGACTACGGGCAAGTCTTCAGGCTGACCTGTTAGCTGCCACAGAGAAGACTGCTCGTTATCCATTACCTGAGATACTTGAGAGTGTAGTGGGAACCAAACTGAAGCTGACAACATGTTTGGAAAGGTTACTAACTTGCTATTATGAGTACGCAGCACATGGTGATCTGCACTAGATTTGAACTAGGTTTAGCTGTGTGTCCGCTTCTAGTCCCCACACCTAATCCCTCAGCATTTTGCTTTCTAACTGGGAATGATTTCTTAGGAAATGTAGCATCTAACTGGGAAATTTCCATCAGTGCCAGCCATGTGCTGGGTTTCTGTTTTCTGGGAAGATGGAAAATATGTCCCCCTTCTTCCTAACCATGCAAGTCAAACATCCTGCAATTGTAAGTAATCTAAGTAATTGTTTTCTGCCTCCGATATCCTGCTGCTTCAGTAGATAATGACCCAACCACAGTCTGTAGTGGGGCTGAAGCTGCTTCTCCTTGGTGCTTGTCTCTCTCACTGAAGATGGTGTGGAGGAGGGGAAGGAAGGTAGTTTAAACAGTTTTTTATCTCTATTGGATCCCTGTCAGTAAGGGGAGGAGGAGGTGAAGAGCAATGACCTGAGCTGAGCATAGCAAATGCTGTTACCCTCTTGCACCACAATTATTTCATTTCTGAGGGGAAGTTAGAAGCAGCAACAGCAATAAAAGCAGCAGTTTCCGCCTCGTCTTCCAGAGCACCATCAGCAAGGCATCTGTACCATGATACTCCACTGCATGCATCTTTTTCTCTTGCTTCTGCTTGGTTCATGGTGGCCAGACTCAGAGAAGCATGTGGTGGGAGCTATGAAGGTCAGGGAGCACTATATAGCTGCTCAGATCACTAGCTGGACCTACAAACCGGAATCTGAGGAAAAGTCCAGGTAACAAAGAACAGGATAAGAAGGATGAAACTAGTCCTCTCTTGTGACTGAAAGTGGTTTATGTCTCCCGTCTCCTGTGGAATTTTATTCCCCAGGAGGACTTTAGAGCCTGATCTGTTGACTTCAAAGGAACTTGTGTGACTTTAAACAGCATGATCTGAACTGGAGCCAGTGAAGTATTAAAAGCTCCTTTTTATTTACATCATTAGTGGATAGAATTATTTTTATCTTTTCAGAGCACTTTTGTTAAATATGTTCCAGGGCTTGCTTTTATCATCTTCTGTGTGGGTTGATGTTGTTTGTTTATTTAATGTAATTATTTTAGGTATAAGGATTTGGAGCAATGTCAAGTTGAGCCATGGTTTGGTAAGATTTCAAAAACTTCCAGATTTTAGAATTTGCTGAAGGAATAAATGTGTTCCGATTTGGATACTATCACTTTCACTTAAATCAGAGCCTGATGAACTTTGGAACTAGCTATGTTGTTTCTGAGTTGTTCAGTAGTTTTTGTGCAATGTTCGTCCCGAGTTCTGCCGAGTAAAGGTTGTAGGATCAATCATTGCTATACTTTATTAAGTGAAAATACTAATTTCAGGGTTTTTTTCAGATAGCATTGCAGAATGGCCAGCCCACATGCATACATCAATGAAGTATATAAAATATCTTCTTTGTATTACCACTGTTATCCTTAAGATAATAAACACTGCAAGCGCAATGCTACAGGCGACAAAACTTGGACATAATTTAGAATTCTTATGCTATGTTCACGATAGTCACCATACGCAGCTTTTATTTGTTCATGAACTGGCGTGAAATGGTACAAATTACTCCTGCATTCAAGGGTATATTTGCATACTAGTGCAGTTCTTTTGTATTGGTGGATCGCTTGTTTATTTTTGTTTAGCTTGTGGTTAATTTTCCTAAATGTGTATTGCATTTCTGGATGTTATGAAAAGGACATTTCCAGTTCAGATTTAGATTTTCTAACTATTCTTTTTTTCAAGACTAATTAAAACAAAGTTTCTATGATTTCTAAAACTCCCCTTGGCAGTTTAATACAACTTGTATAAGCATAATGTCAAACCAGCAAGACAGAAGAAAACAGGATTTAAATGTAGGAATATGAAGCCAAATGCCATTTAAGTATTGACCTGGACATGTGAATTTAGTAGTTAGAACTTCATTCTCATCTGCACTGGATGCATCAATATAAGCATCAACTGCTGTTTCATTAAATGTCACATTGTTGATAGATAGTTTTCATGCAGTAGCGACCCACAGATTGCCTTCAAACCTCAGTTGGAATACTCTCTGATTAGCCAGGAGCTTTTCATACACAGAGCTTATTGAGGTATCTTGCATAAGTATTTAGAGCAAGGCACATCCTGAATGGGTCTGATGAACTTTGTAGAGCTTATAGAAATTTAACTAAAAAAACCCCAAACCAAAACAAAACCGAAAACCCCAACAAAACCCCCCAAAACCCACAAACCCTACAAAGATACTCACTAAGGCATTTGGGTATGTAACTTGCTCTGATTTCAGCAGAAGCTGAATGTCTAAATACAGTGTAAGAATCTGATACTTTTCTGCTTTTGGTTCTAAATAACTGAAGAGAGGCTGAAAAGAAAATGGGACACTTACCTTCTCTGAGTGTCAGTTGTCTTATCGTGGTAGAGATTTATTTGTTACCATGTACAAGTGTTGTTTACAAGACACTTCAGAGCAAAGTGAAAATGTATTGTCTGTGCGTGCAGCATTGCTGGTGCCATTGCCGAAAGTTATGTAACTAGACCTGCTTGCGTAGTCTGAGATCTATGAAGTGTTAGTAAGCTACGTATTTGGTTCCTTCTAGCAGTACAATTGGCGTTGATAAATTTCCTCTTCCACCCCGTAGTCTTATGTGCATATTCTGTTGAACATCGCCACATTAGGGCAGCGCTTGTCAATGAAGGTTATGGACCGAGTCCTTCTCCTTAAAGAGCGAAACAAAATTTTATCAGTGACTTTAAAGCGAGGGGAGCGACTTGAAACATGAACCGCTTCTGCCTGACTCTTCTGAGAGTGTGTTGCAGAGGGATTTACAAAAGATCTGCACAAAAAGAGATCTCCCCCTTATGGACCCTGGATGTCACTGAAGTGAGCTCACTGTCTTATCTCTGCCCAGCCTCTCTATGCTTGAGCAGCCCATCAGCTCCCCGCTATCAAATGTGCCTGAAAGGGCATTACAAAAAAAGCAAGTGGAATTACTGTTGAAGCCAGTCATCATACATACTGTAAGAAATCAACCAATAAATGTGAAACTAAATACAGGCTATTATCCCCCCAGCCCTCTTCTCATCATTATTTCCATTCCAGAAGTGTTGTGTGCTGGTTTCCTTCTGCTTGCCTAAATATTTTCTAAGAAAACAGTGTGTGGTCTACTAAGTGCCTGATTCATTTACATAACAAGGCTAAGGACACTTGCAGTGTTTCTCAGAATGCAATTTTCTGCCTTGCTGTGAGATCCTTAGTTGTTGTCAGGGAACAGTTTTGTGCTTGCCCCCACGGTCATTGCTGATACAGGAGTTTGCTGTTAATGCTGTTGTAGAATCCTTGTGCTGAGTCTTAAAGTTCAAGCGTGGGGCTGAGTAAAGAGAAATTCAGGTTTCTTTCATTGTGTTTTGTCAGATGCTTTCTAAGTTAAGCATGGTCAAGACACCTTCCTCTGTGTGTTAAATGGACAAAACAAAGACATCTTCATCAAAAGGACCTATAGAAATCACCAGCAAAATCAGGGGTAGACTGTGCTTGGTACTGTAATTGAATGTCTAATATGGAAATGGTCTAGCTCAGAAATGTCATAAATTCAAGAGAGTAAGAGGGAGAGGGGAAGACACTACAAAGAGTTGGACTGTGTGCCTTGCCTTCAGCAAAATGTGCAAGTGATTAAGTGTAATTCTAGGATTCATTTTCCAAGATACGCATTAAACAGCAATGGCATCTCTGGCAATCTTTGTCCTTTTAATTTTTTCTGTAACTCTTCTGGTTTCAGATTGGGACATTCAGATCCTGTATTTAAGAAAATTTCTTACAGAGAATATGAAGTGGATTTTAAAAAAGAAAAGCCAGCAAATGTATTTGCAGGTAAACAGGAAGAAAATGTTCTGAATATTTTTGTTTGTTGCTTGTTATAAAGCCAGTAACAAGCTAAGCAAGTTTGTATTTTTGTGTCAATTGTTTTGCACATAAACCAAATAGGCATAGGGAATGAGGTGTCTACAGTGCACTGGGCTTTCAAAGGCCATAGAGAGGTTGGATTTTCAGAGGCTGGGGCTTAGTGCTATCTGCAAATTAATTGCACGGAACAAAGTTGTTCCCTTTGTTTTCAGCATCTGATGAGACTTTCCATACACATTTAGACTTGTACGGGACAGTCGCAGTGGTGACACTATAAATTCACATGGAAGGAGCCTAAAGCCTGAGGCTAAATATGTTTCTGATAGATCAGTGGAAAGGAAAAGAAAAACTTTGAGGTTGGGTGTGAAAGATGTCCCCTTTGTGTCTGTTACTGCTTGAAGAAGCTTTAAATGGATGGAGGCAAGTTCTTGTACTTATGCCCTACATAAGTATGGTACTTGTGTTCTGATACTTACATGGAGTACTTATATAGTCTGTCTGCACTTCATATTAGTAGATAAAATAAGTTCAGATGTTAGATGTTCAGATATAGATTTCAAAGTAAATGTGTGTGAGGTTGGTGGTATGAAACTGTTACAAGTTGCCCTGAAAGGTCTAGTCTATGATCTGATTCCTTCCAATTTTGTTTGTTCTCCTGTATTTTCTGAAACTCCTTCTTTCTTTTCAGAGAAAGAAATTTACAAAATAGTTTACAAGGAAAGAGGCTAAAAAGCCAAAGGTTGTCTTAGCAGGTTTTTTTTTATTTTTGCAACATGGGGAGTAGGGATACAAGCCCTTCTTGAAACCTTTCGCAGGCTATGCCTCAAGAAATTTGCAACATGGAACTGATTATTTCTTTAGATAACATTTTGGGATTGAAAGATCTTTTTGTTCCGTGACTTCTGGCATTGAAAGTGCTACTCAAAGAAATGTGCTTGAATGCCTTTCTCTAAACTCTTAAACTATAAAATATCTGCCTTCCTAAAACTGTTTAATTAAATTGTATGTGAAGGATTCCTAGACGTTCCCAGTGAACCTCAACATGAACCTTTTGATAAATTTTCTGTATCTGGAAATAACTTTTTTCCCCCAAATCTACCATTTTCCTGTGATTCTTAAATGCTAGTTGCCAGATATACAATTTATAACATTCCTGACTGTAAGCTGCAGGTTTGAAATCCCCATGTGCCTTTTTATGGGTAAATCTTCGTTGCAGTGTTATTACATTCTCTGCCTGTATTAATTTTGCAACTTGTACTTTGAGAGCTCATGTTCCCTAATGGGGGGAGAGAGAACTCTTCGTTTCACTAAACATACTGGTTTGCTCACATTTTCCTCTCTCTTTATGTTGGATAACTACAGGACTTCTGGGACCAACTCTGCGTGCTGAAGTGGGAGATACTTTAGTAGTTCACCTTAAGAATATGGCTGACAAGCCAGTCAGTATGCATCCCCAAGGCATAGTTTACCAAAAAAATGCGGAAGGTAAATACTATAAAAACTCCGTGTTTTGTTCATTTATTTGTAGACTACTGCATGAAATATTGAAAGGGGACCAGACCAGTGTTTGAGGGTATGTGTAACACAAGTATCTCTTGATCCTGGATTAAAACTTCACACCCACTGTTGGCTCCTTTCTTGTTCATCAGTGTAACACTAGGAATATGAGTCTCACCTGACATGCAAAGTCTCCTGACTAGCTGCCTGTGTACTAATACTGTTTCACAGAATCACAGAAGTGGTTGAGGTTGGAAGGCACCTCTGGAGGTCATCTCGTCCAACCCCAACGTAATTGCAAAATATTCTGTTTCAGGACATGTAAACTCTTAAATACAGGTCTTAAAAAAACTTTTCCAAATCCCTTGCAATAGCATGTGTCAAGGCATTATTGGTAAAGGCAATTGACAGTGCTGATCATGTTGTTCTGATACTCAGCATTTCATGCTCAGCTTTGTGGTGTTTTGCTCGTGGAACCCTCATGAGACTAGCAAAAAGAGATCATAAACTGTGACCAAATTGACAGTTAAATGTCTGGACTAGCACAGGGTGAGTTTGATTGCCCATGCTTCTTGGATTGCCCTGCCCTGTGTGCTGAGCCAGAGCTCTGACCTGCAGTTTACAAATTTATTCAAGGCTTTGTTTGTTGTCTCAGTACAAAACCAGTTTTGCAGCCACATCTCATGGAGTTGGAACAGAACATGTTATTGGAAGTGATAGGCAGTTCAGTCTGACTATCTTATTAATCTGCCTTTTGTACCTAGGACTTTGATTCTCTGGCTCCTCTTTGTCATATTGCAGATTTGTTGGATATGGTAGGCATAGATATGAGCCATTACTGCTATCTGGATATGCAGTGCACAAAAGGTCTAAGGCAGCAAGGCAATAGTCTGCACATGAGAGACAATTAGAAAGTTAACAAAGTGGGTGGTATTCCTCCACAGATTATCAGTGAGCAGAGGCTGTAGCTTCATGCCATCCTAACCTTAGTCAGACTGATGAAGAGCCCCACCTTTTGGCAGTGATGACAGTTCTAGGAAATCTTTAATCTGTAAGAAACAGGATGGTGGAATAGCTACTCTACCCTATGCTACTCTCCACGATGTGAGTGGAATCATGAGTTATCTCTTTGAAGTGTCATATAGGCAAGAAACAAACCAAGCTTTTGGAATTGATTGTAGGAGGACATTCCAGATGCTTTAATTGTTCTTTGTCTTCGTACCACCCTACTGACTCTTTTCTTGGCAGGCTCCCTGTATGATGACAGAACATCATCTGCAGAAAAACGAGATGATGCTGTACTTCCAGGCCAGGTCTACACATATGTGTGGGACATAACAGAAGAAGCTGGTCCAAGAGAAGCTGACCTTCCTTGTCTTACTTACACATATTATTCTCATGTGAACATGGCAATGGATTTTAACTCTGGTCTGATTGGAGCACTGCTTATCTGTAAAAAAGGTAATGAAATGCTTTAAGACAACTGTAAGGTAATACAGTTTCATTTCTTAATAAGGTTTTATGATAATGAGGGAAGATATATTATTTTCCTTTTCACATCTTTACATGCAGTGTAAAGTAAATGGTTTTCAACATCTTTCTTTTAGATGTTAAAGTTTTTAAATGCCAGCTTTCATGCAGATTCATCCTATAATTATAGGATGGACAGAGAGCACTATAAATAGATACATTTGCCTGCACTGATTGTATTTTCAATTGCTTAACTGCTAAATATATGACCTCGAATTTCCTGTCTTAGAATAAATATTTTTTAAAGCCTCATTCAAAATGGTTCAGCCATTCCAGAGAATATGGCAGGAAATAATTGTTTTACCCATGCCTTTTAAAGGCTGTCTGATCAAGAGGCTGTAGCACTCTGTCTTCTGTAACAAGGGTTTGAAATCACAGAGCAGCATGTCTCTTACTAGTCGTTTGAAAATACAGTCACATTTGAATAGATTATAAGTCTTTGAAAATTGCTTTGCATGCCGTCAGGGACTTGGGATTTTAGGAGTTTGAGTAACTGAATTCCATCTCCGCTAATATGAACTGGTGTCTTGTAGGATTTGTAAATAACTGCTAGGTGGTACATGCTACTGATTTGAGGGAAGTTTGAAACCGCATACTTGTTGGTCCCTTAAATCCTAATTTTTTCCAAGTTATATATCCTTCTTTTAGTGAAAGCTCTCTGAGTTATTTAGCTTGATTCTCTTTCTCTGCAGCTTGAATCAAACATTTTGTATAGACTGCAGACAGACCTTGAAGCTTTCCTGAAAGTGAACATAAAACTGGTTCAGTGTGGGTTGTATAAGGGCATTCTTCTCACTGATAGATATCCGTTTAATTACAGAAGACACCTACTCAGATCACCTCAAAGGAATGGCATTAGTATTAATTATGTTCCTCCTGAAGTTTTTTGAGAATTAGTACTTTTAGTATTATCTTGGACTTGTTATTTTCCAAATTTTGTTGGGGTTTCTTTCTCTGTGTTCATGTGTATGTGTGCATTTTATGGCATTCTGGTGGAGTTAATCTGGACAAATGCTTTGGAATTACTTGCTTTCCTTCCTTCTCAGGCTTCTCAAATTCATCCATATATTGTGGGCTTGAGTTGGATACGAGTTTGAGATGGATTGGTTTGACCGCTACCTTCAAGACAATTTGAGCATATGTTTCTAGCTGGAGCAAAGACAAATGGCTAACTACTCAAATTTTTAAGATTTCTGAACAGGGTTTCTTTGACTGGGCACTGTGTGTGGCAGATGCATAACATGCCTGTGTATTTGGTCTGTCTGGTATGGAGTTAACTTTCTTCACAGCAGCTCATATGGTGCTGTGTTTTGGATTTGTGGTTAAATAGTGTTGATAATACACCCATGTTTTAGCTATTGCTGAACAGTACTTGCACAGTGTCAAGGCTTTCTCTTTTTCCCGCTCAGACCTCCCCAGCTAGTAGGCTGGGGGTGGGCGAGAGGTTGGGAGGGGACATAGCTGGACAGACGAAACAAATTGGCCAAAGGGATGTTTCCCACCATGTAATGTCGTTCTTAGCAATAAAAACTGGAGGTAGAGGAAGAAGCAGCAGGGGGGGTAGGGGGGAATGAGGGGTGTTGACTTCCAAGGTGGCTGGACCTGAGATACTGGCTGGGCATCAGTCTGCTTATGGGAAAGGGTGAGTGATATCCTTCATGTTGCTTGGGTTTTTTCCCCCTCTTTCCTTCACCTGTTGAACCGTCTTTACCAACCCACAAGTTTTCTCACTTTTGTTCTTCCTGTTCTCTCCCCTGTCCTACTGGGGGCAGGGAAGCATTGGAGTTGTGTATGGGTGCTTGGCTGCTGGCTGGGGTCAACCCACCAGTCTGACACATTAAGAGAAGAATAGGTGGTATAACCTGGGAAGGTTATAAAAGTGGACTTTTGAGTTAAAGCACTGACTGAATGTTTCATTGCATGACAAGCAGATAAATTCCTCTGTTGATCTGAGACTTCTTTTGTGCAGGAAAACAGGACTTTGTAGCCTCTCATAAATAGAAATGATTACATTAAACATAACTGCTTCCACTGCTAGTGTCTCTTCCTAAGTAGAATAATTGGCAAGCTCTCAAATTTTTAGTTCCTGCAGTCCAGAGGGACACCTATTTTAGTCCTGGATTATGTATTGAAAGTAGCAAATGGAAGTTTTTGATGTGAGCAATCTATAGGAAGAATCAGTAAAATCACACCAGTTCTGTGTGGCATGTCCAGAATTAATTCTATTTGTTGGCAGAAATCACATCTGTATCACAGACTCAACTAGATGGTTTCTTATAACCGATCCAATGCAGCAATATTTGTTAGTGTCTTTTGTATGTAAAGGTCATTTGCTGAGTGGTCGGTTTTATGCTTTTTAAAAGAGCTGATGACCTCAGTGTAGTGCTTGAAAAGGCAGTGTTCACACTGCAGGTGACTGCCATCATTCTTCTCCTTGCCTCACAGTCTCAAAAGAGAGGCCAGCATCTGATTGTGGACAGAAGGCTGTTTGGTGCTCCCGTTCAGTAAGGTGATCCCTACAATACATTGCCAGAATTGTCTGAGACAATTCATTGCATGTTGTTTAAACTCCTCTGGGATATTACAGACTTTTGATATTGTGGTTACCCAACCCAAAAGTACTTTCAGAAATAAAATCACTTTAGGAGCATTCTTAAGGTCTTGTTTTGGTCAGGCTCAGCCAGTACATGCTAACAGATGAAGCAAGCTCATTAAATACACATTAATGCCACTACATTGATGTGAAAACTGCTTTACTTCTGCTTCAAATTAAGACCTGTTGTTTCTTCTTCATAGGAAGCCTAAATGAGGATGGGTCACAGAAACTTTTCGACAAGGAGTATGTACTGATGTTTGGTGTGTTTGATGAAAACAAGAGTTGGCAAAGATCAGCATCACTCAAGTACACAATTAATGGCTATACTGATGGAACATTACCAGGTATTTTTCAGGCTTATGTGAAAAGAAATTAACATTGATGAAGACTGAATATTACCTTTATTTTTTATGCAAGAGAACAGGAATGTGGAGGAATGGGATACAGCCTTTTTTAGAACATGTCTATGAGCATCTAAATTCCAGAAGAGAAACTGTGCTGCTGGAAGGAAGTCATGCCAGATTGCTGATAAGAACAACAAGATTACTTCTAAGAAGAGTTCTGCTCCAAGAACAGGATTACTAACTTTAAAAAATAAGAAATCCCTCATTTTTTTACTCAGCTGATGGGGAGAGTGTGATGTGGTTAAACGAACTGCTGGTTTTACAGCATATAGAACATACTAGGTGAAGAACTTCCTGGAATTGGAAAGTCAGTTACCATTAAATTAGACAATTAAGTGGGAAGACTAGGAAGGTAGTAACAGGATTATTCTGTTGCTAGTGTTTTCCCCTTGTTCTCCTAAGGAACTACTTTCATATCTCTGTCCAGTCCATTGAGCAAATACAAAAGACTGTCTTAGGTGGGATTTTTTAAACAAATATTGGATAGGGTAGCTACTGTCACTAGATACAATCTCATTTTTTAGCTTGGATCCTTGCCTTTTTTTTTTCCCCAAATAAGGACAGATCAGTTTTCCAAAAGAGGCTACTGGTTTTCTTCCTTCTTCCCCAGCTCACTATAAGTCAGGTTGTCACTTGCCTATAAGATTTAAACACCTATCTTCTGCTAATGTACAGGATTTTGGTATCTGTTCCATTTACAAGCTTCTGCAACTACCTCTTGTTGCAAACGCTGATCGCAGGAGTCAGAGATTTCTTTTTTTAATGGTTTGAGCAAAGATTCATTTCAGACCTAGTGTGCATAGGGAACTTTCATGATTTGCCTTTATTCTGAACCCTACTATCATTTCTCTTTCAGATTTAGAGGCTTGTGCGTATGACAGCATTAGCTGGCATTTGATAGGAATGAGTTCCAAGCCAGAAATTTTCTCCATTCATATCAATGGCCAGTCCATGGAGCAAAGACATCGCCGAGTTTCTACTGTTAACCTAGTGGGAGGAGCATCAACCACAGTAAACATGACAGCGAGTGAGGAAGGAAGGTGGCTGATATCTTCTCTTGTCCAAAAGCACCTGCAAGGCAAGGAAACATCTATTTATTAGGCATCTGTAGAGTTGTCCTTCTCTTATTTATGTCCCAAAGGGCTTCTGCTGTTTTGCAATGGTACAGTTACTGTGTTTCCAATGGTTCATTTCACTAAGAAACCACTGGTGAACAGGGCGTTCTGTTGGAATGACAAGTGCATGATGAACTAAAAGGCATTCTTATCTGCAGCTTTACTGCCATGTGTAGATCACAGAGCAACAGTGAATCAGTACTTCAGTGTCTCTCTGCTGTTCAGATAAGCACCGTTATAAAATGAGTAAGGAACCACCTGTTTCCTGAGAAACTGAGCATTTTCATCTGTCACTCAATCTGATGAAAATATTTGCTGCTCATTATTTGAAAGTGGCTATCTATCCCTCAGCAGTGATCAGAATTCTGTTCTAAAGAATGAGAGAAATGTCTCTCTCATAAGAGCTGGAAGACATGTTTTGAAAAAAACCAGGAAAAAATAGCGCTCTATCTGTTCAGCTGGTATTTTCAAAGAGGGCTAGTTGAGAGAGTTTCTGTATTCCAGTTGATTAATATGGGCTCCTTGGAAGGCTTCCAGCCTATATATAGTCTACATGGATGCAGCCTTTTCAAGCCTGAAAAGATGGCAATCAGATGAACAAACGCTTGCTGGCAGCCTTAGCTAAAGAAATGAGAAATGCATTTGAAGTGGTAAGGGTTCATAACATGGAAAATCACTATGGTACTGTTTCTTCTCAATTAGCTGGAATGCGTGGTTACCTCACTATAAGAGACTGTGGGGACAAAGAGGTGAGGAAGAGTCGTCTCTCCTATAAAGAACGTCTTATGGTCAAAAGCTGGGAATATTTCATTGCTGCAGAAGAAGTTACTTGGGATTATGCCCCAACTATTCCAGACAGCCTTGATAGGTAAAATAATACTTTGTCAACGTAATATGGAATGTTAACATGAAATCACAGAATAATTCAGGTTGGAGAGGACCTCTGGGGATCCAATGGCAAAGTCGGATCCAGTTGCACAGGGCTTTATGCATTTGAGTTTTCATTGTCTCCAAGGATGGGGAATCGTCAATTTCTCTGGACACCTTTGCAACTTCACAGTGAAAAAGATTTTCTTTATATCTAATCAGACTTTCTCATGTTGCAGCTTGTGTCCATTGTGTCTCATCTCTTCACTGTGCACCTCTGAGAAGAGTCTGGTTCTGTTTTCTCTATAATTTCCCATTTGATACTTGAAGATAAAAATAAGATGCTCCCTTCGCCGTGTCTTCACATGACTGAATAAAACAAGGTTTTGCTTCTATGTCATGTGCTCTAGCTCTCTAATCACCATGGTAGCCCTCCACTGGACTCTTACCAGTGTGTCAGTGACTTTCTTTGCTGAGGAGCCCAAAAGTGGACACCTTCTTTTGCCTCTTAACGGGCAGCCCAAAGTATGAAGATGACTTAGGAAATGCCCTAAGTAGCATACAAGCCTGTTTTCTAAATTACTTTTCAACATGAATTCTGCTGAAATAAACAATCCTTAAGAGGAAGGAAAAGGGAGGGAGGGAATATTTCTGGAGAAGAAAAGTTTTTAAAAGTTCAGTACAGTAAAGTGTTTAGAGAATAAGAGAAAGAGAGGTGTCTCTCTCTATAGATGACCTTTGCATGGCACCAATGTAGATGTAGTAGAAGTCATAATAAGTAAGCATATTGGGCTATTTTGTTCAACTTAAGGTAAATAGAAGGAATTCCGTGACATACCAGAGGTCATAGTACATAATGCTGCCAGTGCACTGTAAGGTTAAATTTGCTAATCTGTCAGTTCCCCACTGCTAGAGTACTGGTGACTTTACAAGCTGATGTTCATAAGAAACTTTAAGGATTTAAGCAGAACAAGACAAATTCCTTACCCTATATGGGATTACGGTTTCATATACTTCCTTAGAATATAGTGTTCACATAACTCTAAGTATTCCTCCTTCTTTGGTATGACTTGCTCTTGGACTTTTACATCTTTCCCTGCTAGTTACATGGCATTATTAACCACCTCAGTGCTCTGATTTTTCCTCCTTTGTTCAAAATTACAGTGTTTATCCCTGTTCTGTAACCTTTTTCTAAAGCACAAGTGACCAGGACAAACATGTTAGTCTGTGTTACTTCCCAGTATTTATCTTAGTTTTGCTCTCAGCATTAACAATTCTACTGTTTTTAAACTTGAGTGTAACACTACTTATTGTATGGTACTTGACTGGGATTATCTGTTCCTGTCTCTCCTACAGTCTGTGCTACTGTAAGCAAATTGTTTGTTTATTCTGTGCTCAACTATGCTGTTGTAAAAGGAGAACAGTAATTTCTGCTATCTTGAAAATGTAGCTGCTGCTTCAGTTAGTTTGTTTCTTGCATGTATACCCTATTAAATTAAATGTAAACTCTGATACTAATTGGTCATATGTGATACTAAAACACAAATAATGTTCCAAGCTTCTTCTTACCTAATTTAGGTTAGAATTTGGGTAGAAGGGCATTAGGTTAGTTTAGGGTTTGGATTTGTTTTCAAGCAGTGGGGTTTCTACCAATTGCTTGAGTACTAATTCTGTATTCCAGTAGATGTCACTATTCAAGTTTTGTTCATCATTTGTCTTTTCCTTTATTTTTAAGACACTATAAAGCACAGCACTTGGACAACTTCTCAAATCTCATAGGTAAAAACTATAAAAAGGCTATTTTTAGACAATATACTGATGCCAGCTTCACTAAAATTCTGGAAAACCCTCGTCCCAAGGAAACTGGAATCTTGGGCCCTATTATCAGAGCTCAACTCAATGACAAAGTCAAAGTAAGTAACACAAATTCAGAGATTATTTATACTATAGCATAATTTTCTGTTGGGCAGAGATACAAAAGAACTAGTCTGATTTGGGGGTTTTGTCAAAAAAGATAGCTGATGTTCTAAATATTGCCCCTATTAAAAGTTATGATCACAGGTGACAGTGTTTAGCTTAAATTTTTCAGCATTCCCTCTACAGTTTCCATGATTGTGCTTTATTTTACAACATAAACACACTTCATTCACACTCTTTGTTAAATATATTTATATGTTGACACTGGTCCAAAAGGGAAAAAACACAGACCCAGGTGGACTTCTGGGGGGATTTAGATGTGAGGCCAAACTTGAGCCACTCATTCCTTATGTTGTTGTTTTTTCTGGCTGTTTTAGACAATGGATCCCAGTTTTCATAGTTAAATGTTCTTTCTTGGAGTTATGAAATGAACCTACAAAGCATTTGCATTACAAGCTTGTGCTGCTGTCACATGCACTTGTCTTTCTGTTGTCACTTAATGATGCATCGCAAAGTTTCGTGACCTTTAATTGCCACCATGACCTGTGACTCTTAATTTGAGTTTAGCACCTTTCTTCTTTTTTTTCTGATTTCATCAAGAATAGGCAGGACATTTTGCCTTTTCCTCCCGTATCTCCTTTGGGTCTTGGAATCTGGGACAAGATTTGTTTTTAAATCTGTTTAAATTTGTTTTCTCCCATATTGAAGGTTCTTAAGAACTTTAGTCAATAACTTCATATTCCCTGAGGCAGTGTGTGCCTAGTAGCTGGAAGAACAAGTGTTCTTTTTAGATTTTCCAGAGACCAGGTGTAAAAAGCTGAACTTCACTCAATGGGCTCTACAAAGCCCAGCAGCATTTAGACTATGGGTTTATATTATCAGACAATATTTAAAAAATCCCTTTGCCTTTCCAGCACTTCCTGGGCTGAAACCAGGCAAATTCTACTCTAGTTGAAACTTTGTTATGTATTCAGACAAGAATTTGCTGAATACTAAATTCATTTTTTTTCATTTGCCTATCAATATAGGTTGTATTCAAAAATAAGGCCAGTCGACCCTACAGCATTTACTTCCATGGAGTGACACTTTCAAAGAATGTAGAAGGAGCTGATTATCCTCTGGATCCCACAAGTAAGAAATTTGTGAATTACATTTTGCATACCACTAACTGTTGTGGAGGGTTTCATTGCTGTGGCTAGGAGTGTGCATGACTAGGAGACCTCAATTCTATGCTCTGCCTCTGCTGACCTGTTGTGTTGCTTTATAGAGAAACCAAGGTGTTATCTGCAAAGCATAGACAAATACCCTTTTTTGGTGTCTTAGTTTTCTTGTTTGTGATTTTTAGGGACACACAAGTTCATGTTGAACTTTAGTTACCGCACAGGTAGCTTGAAATGGCATAACTGCACCAATTTCATGAAAAGGTGCAGCCTGATGTTATATAAGGGTCTGGCTCTATGTTCTCTAAGTTTGTATCACTACTGTTCTCTTTCTTTGTTTTTCCTTAGGCAATGGCACCCAGAGCAGAGGAATTGAACCGGGGAAGATGTACACTTACGAATGGAAAATTGCTAAAACAGACCAACCCACTGCAGAGGATGCACAATGTATTACAAGGCTATATCATAGTGCTGTAGATACTGAGAGAGATATAGCCTCTGGGCTGATTGGCCCACTTCTGATTTGTAAAAGTGAAGCATTGACACAGAAGGGTGTGCAGGTAACATGTTTGGCAACCTCTCAGAGATAGATTTTGCTCAAATATTATTTGATATACAGTGAATTTGGTTTTGCACCCCTTAGAAAACTGCCATGTAGAGAGCAATTAAACCAATAAGCTCCTGCAGAAATGACCTGAAGAAACAGTCCTCTAACTGTCCACATCAGTAGAGGAATTATATTCTGATTTTCTTAGCAAGAGCAGCATTTCAACAAAAGGTCAGCTTGACTTGAAAGTCTATTTCTAGACTTGATAATAAACATTCCAGCTGCTATTATACCTTCATACTCTAAAGACATTAAGTTCTGAGCTGGTCCCTTTCTGTAACAGGTATAACTCAACAAGGTCTGACAATCTCAGGCATCACTGAATCCAGAGCAACCCAAACAGCATGGGAGAGTTCTGGGAGAGTGGTTCTCTTTGCCATCCGTTGAAATCTTGCTTGGCAAAGATTTGAGCTACACTTGGGAGAAAAAAAAGTCAAAAGCTTCTGCTCAGGTCAAACCAGGAGGCTGGGTCCTTTTACAGAGGGCCCAGTCGTATACCATCTGCATATCTGTTGTGCTAGTGGCTTGGTCAGTGCTCCACCACAGGTTGGTTGCAGTAGTAGGATTGTCACCTTGAAGTCTTGACCCCCTACTCCCTTTCACTTAGCCCTTGGATCATGCTTACCACAACTCTGGTGAAGCTTCTACTGCTTACATAGTAAGTAAGATAGATAGTAGGATTGAGTCCTTACATTTTATGAGCAGAGCCGTGTATTAACTGCTGTGTTGATTGTCTTTCAGAAAAAGGCAGATGGGGAGCAGCAGGCAATGTTTGTTGTTTTCGATGAAAATAAGAGCTGGTACATAGAGGATAACATCAAGGACTACTGCAGCAACCCTGCCACTGTTAAAAGGGATGACCCCAAGTTCTATAACTCGAACATAATGCACAGTGAGTGAGATATCAAGCTGAATATTATGAAAGCTCATGTGAACCTGAGCATTCAGTGATTGCTTGTCCTCAGATGTAGTGCAATCAGAGAATTCTCTAGAGAGTCAGTGGACTTCTAACCATGCCAGGCAGCACTGTACAGAAATATGCGATATTTTAGGGACCAGGCTGGCTCTGGACACTGAAAGAAAGGCAAGGGTTATTTAACTTTGATGCAGCACTCTGCTGCCTTAGAGATACTATTTGCAGAGCTGGAATCTCCATCAAGGCTATTGTGGTTTCAGCCCCATGCCAGTCTCTTTCCAGGTGCAAATGTGAGTCCAGTTTAGTGGACTGACATCAAAGAACAGGAGGTTTTAAAAGTCTTACTCTGAAAATATTGAGACCACTTTTATTTTGCTTTCCTTTTAGCAATAAATGGCTATGTCTCTGACAGCAGTGAAATCCTTGGATTTTGCCAAGATAGCGTGGTTCAGTGGCACTTCTCCAGTGTTGGCACTCATGATGAGATTGTCTCTGTTCGCCTTTCTGGGCACTCTTTTCTGTATCAAGGGAGATACGAAGATGTGTTGAACCTTTTCCCAATGAGTGGAGAATCTGTCACAGTGGAAATGGACAATGTCGGTAAGTGGTAAAACTATAGTGTTTGACAGCTCTTCTAAGACATTTTTTTAATCTCCAGTCTATAAGGACTGACCTAAAAAAGAAACAAAGCTTTTCAGATAAACACAATGCTGGAAAATGCACTCCGCAGTGCAACTGATGTGTATGGAGTTTTGTTGGCTACACAGACTTACCACATAGCATAATTGTATGTTATACTAAGGCTTTTTTGGGGGGGTGGGTTTTTTTGTTGTTGTTGTTGGGGTTTTTTTCTACTTCACAATTAGTATTTGGGTTAGCAATGATCATTTTAAGGCAATTCTAAGATTGTCCTTGGAAACAATCCAGTATCAACTCCACTCTATGATTCCCAGTTTTGCCACATACTCGTCTATCCTGCATTGGTCATAATGGGCCAAGACTGTCAAATTATGCTAGTCATTATTTGTCAAAGTGGCTTTGACATTTAGGAGCAGTAAAGTCTGACTGAATCAGATCACTGAGCCATTGGTATACATCTCAATTTCTAACTAAGATTAATACTGTATTTTGAAAAGGTGACACTAGAACCCATGTAGTCCACACTTACAGAATTACCTGCCAAAGGACAGAGATTCTTCCTCATTGAAGGCTGTGAGTGTTTAGTGATCATCCTAAAATCCCACAAGGTTTAAGTATCCTTATCGTATTTAAAATACCAATTTTTTTTGTATCTTTTATCTATTTAAATAATGAATTCTTTATGTCCTCAAAGCTTGTTTTCAGTGATCGCACAGCATCAAGACCTTAAGTTAAAAACATATTGTATGCTAATTGGTTTTTAGTGGTCAAGACTAGGGAATCATTAAAATTCCATCAGACTTTATGGAAACCTCCCCAGTAATGAAGTTGTACTTTTGCTTGATTTTAGTATGTGATCTGTTCTTTCTGTCTAGGGCATGTTTTCTTTTGTAAATTTGCCGTTGTTAGAAATAAGGAAAGCCATGCAGGTCACTTCAAACTGATAAATACAGAAAAACTGTATCTGTCCTTTTCAATAAAAAAGGCTGGTTTTCTCAAGCTCTGTTAATTCTGTCTATTCTGTCATTTCTGCTAGTTCCAAAAGCAAGCTATGATAAGCAAAGAACTTGATTTTATGCTATTTAGGCAAACAGATTGTGTTTTGTTCTCTGCAGATCCTAGTTTCAAATGGAGAACTTATCTTCTGACTAGGTTTTGGAGGAATTATTAAAACCTTCAGGTTAATCTGAGATGCCTCAGATTGGCAGCTTAATTTTTTGTGTCCAGATTGGAAATTCAAATTACTTTGTTCTTTTCAAGATCATCCTTTATGCATTCAAAAGCGTTTAAAATGCTGTGTTTGTCAGATGTTTGTCAACATTGCCTCAGAATCTATTTGTTCTGTTCAGAATGCTCTATTGGTGTGGCAATGCATACAACACTAAGGACAGGACAAAATTAAAACTTTATCTCAAAAGATCCCAATCTTAGATCCAGATCTAAACATAGGATCCTTTATATTGTTTCTTTCTTTTTCATATCCATCTCTTTAATGGGTTATGTTTGGACACAGGTCCTACATACAGCTTAATCTGTGGAGAAGAGCTCCAGTTCTTAGATGTATTTATTTATATGTGCCATTATTTATTTACATTATTAATTATTTTTTGTTGCAGTGAGAGCTCATGGAAATCCCAGGTGAGGATTAGCACTGTGCTATAGCAGGTGCTGTAGAAACAAACACAGGAACTTACCATGACCACTTACATGATAGGCAATGTCTGCTCTTGTAACTACTGCATATTAGAAAAACACTTTTATTTCAATTGCAGGTACTTGGCTTTTAGCATCCTGGGGTACCCCAGAGAGGAGTTACGGCATGAGGGTGAGATTCAGAGATGCCAGATGTGACTATGAGGAAGATGACACATATGATGTTATGGATTTCACTTACACAAAGACTGATAAAAAGGCTGTTTCCACCTCAGTTGAAGAAGATGTGCAAGAAGAAGGAGATAAGGAGGACTTGGATTATCAGGATTACCTGGCAGCTTTTTACTCCATCCGAAGCTTAAGAAATGCAACAGGTGATGAAGAAAAACAAAACCTTACAGCACTAGCCTGGGAACAGTATGAAGGCACTGATGCCATGAGTTCTGAGGTGGCAGCTGGCTCAGATCTGACAGCTATAAATAGTAGTGAATCCACAAACACCTATAAGTTCTTAGAAACTCATATCACTCCTCTTCCCCCAATCAAGGGTGAAACATTCCAGTCAAATCACACATCAGTCACAGCAGAAGAGGAATTATTTTTAGCTAGCACAACTGACGGAAAAGCTGACTTGGTATTTGAGAATGGAAGCCAAAGCAATTATGAAGTAGATCACGGTAATGTGTCTGCAGGTGAACACTTGCTGAGCAATGGGGAAGGCCAAATGAATGTTGCAGAAGAGCTTCCAACTGATGGAAAAGACAGTAAATTTTTTTCAGGAAAGCATCAAGATGAAAGCACAGGAAGAGGAAATTATAACATTAACAGTAAAAGGAAAAGGCGAAACTCACTAGCCATTAAGTTTTATTCCATCCAAAAGATGAATGCCCTTCTAAGTCATGTACGAAATAAAAATGTCTCACTTTCTGACAAGACAAGTGCACCTCATTCTGTGCATCATGCAGAGAACACATCCAATATAGACGTGCTGGGAACTGGCCAGCTTCCAAATGATTATGATGATGAACTGGAAGAGGAAGAAACCAACAAGGAAAATGCCATGCGTGCAGTTAACTTGACGCTTGCTTTGGGCGTCATTGTAGGAGATGGGTCTAATGCATCCAGCCTCTCCGAACCCAAGCTATCCAAAGATAAACAAGCAGACACTTTTTCTTTAGACCATACATTAGGCAATATAAGCCCTAATTCCAGCCCTGCACTAGTGAAGAACTTACGAGAAGCATCGTTGCCCAGGGCTGGGAAATATTCATCTAAAATGACAAATGAGGAATGGAATTTGGTGTCTGCAAAGGGAAGTCTGGGATTAGAAGCAAATTTAGATAAATCTGTTAGTGGTAAGTTAAATCATCGTGGCAGAAATGGTACAGTGTTCATAAATAAGAAGCATATGAAGAAGTATCAAGGGTTCTCACATCTAATGGGAGAAAAACAGAAAGGGAGCCACATGCACCTAACTCTGAAAGGAAAGGAGGGGAACAAGAATGATACTTTGAGTACATCTGAAACCTTCATCAAGATCCGAAGGAAAAAAAAGGAACATCCAAGAATGACTCACTTGCTGAGCCCAAGGAGTAAAAAGCCCCCCAAAATCACCAATTCTATGGCAGGGCTTGGCCATACATTGTTTCCGGGTGCGACCAACCACACAACGCTGCCATGTTGCACTAACACCACAGAGGCACCCAGTGAGGCCAACCATACAGTGGACCTGAGTAGAGCCAGAAATGAGGTGTTGCTAAATTACACGCTCACCCCACGGCAGCCTAAGCCATTGATCATGATTGGGCTTCCCCAAGAAAATGGAGACTACGAATATGTTACGGAAGGACCTTACAGTGAGGAAACATCTGGTGGTGAATATGAATACCATTATGTGGGCTTTGATGACCCATATATGACAGATCCAAAAGTGAATATCAATGAACAACGTAACCCAGAGAACATTGCTGAACATTACCTGCGTAGCAAAGGGAATGAGAGGAGATACTATATTGCAGCTACAGAGGTCTGCTGGAACTATGCAGGATATAAAAAAAGGTTTGGCTAAATCATTTGCTGTCATTTTGCATGCCATCCTGATACATACTAGCAGAATGTTGATTCACATGCTGATAAATTTAAGAGTGTCTGTAATGTGCAATGTGATTTCCAACATTTCAGTTGCAGAACCCTAAGAATTTTTCATGGGAGGCTGGGACCCCCCTAGAATTGTCATAGAGATTACTATAATGAAGAGCAACACAACTAAGAACT